AAATGAAAAAAATTGTTTGGGTGAAGTAGAAGGGGGGGGGGGGGGGTGCTACAGACGTGGCACTACAATATACAAGAATACATTTACTCACATGTTTCAAATAATTTGACAAATCAAATAGATTTGCAAAATGATTTAGATGATGCAAAATTTAATGTGAATTGAATAACCTAGGGGTAGAAAAACACATTTGAAAAATTCCATATGGCAATTAATTATAATTGCATTATTGTAATTAATAATCCAATTAAATTACAGTGCCAACTTTGAACCATTTATAGAATTATTGTTTACAAACAGGTTTCCCGAAAACTTCTGCCCTTTTGATTTTTCACTTGTGGAACAAATTGATTAAAAAAAAGAAAGAAAGGTAATTGCGACCTATCTCACAATTTGTTTTTTTTCTTGTTTCTTTTTTTTAGAATTGCGAGAGATTCTCAAAAACACAATCCTGAAATTATAAGAAATTGTGAGGTTAACTCGTATTTGCAATCTCATCGCAATGAGTTTGTCTCGCCATTCTGACTTTTTTCTCAGAATTACTAGAAAAAAAAGAGAATTGTGAGCTACACTGCCAGAAGTGCAAGAAAAAAGTCAGAGGGTGAGAATTAAAAAAAAAAGAAAGAAAGGTAATTGCGACCTATCTCACAATTTGTTTTTTTTCTTGTTTCTTTTTTTTAGAATTGCGAGAGATTCTGAAAAACACAATTCTGATAAGAAATTGTGAGGTTAACTCGTATTTGCAATCTCATCGCAATGAGTTTGTCTCGCCATTCTGACTTTTTTCTCAGAATTACTAGAAAAAAAAGAGAATTGTGAGCTACACTGCCAGAAGTGCAAGAAAAAAGTCAGAGGGTGAGAATTAAGCTTTCATATATTTCAGATAGCCCAAACTCACGTCATTGGTTCAGACAGTGTTGGGAAAATGTTAATGTATTTTTTTTAACACACATTAGCTTTAAACTGATCTGAGACCAGAAGAGCAAAGTCAACCCAGATCTGAAAGATGGCTATGTTTGTGTGATCTGACGACCTGATCTGATCTTTTGAACACTAAACTTCTGCAGATGACCTGGAAGTATGTGTTTGCGTGTGAGTGACGGGCGTGTTGAGATTGAGCTTACTGGACCATTTGCCCTTCTCTGCTAAAGCAAATGCAGTACAGATGCTGCCCAGTGTTGACTGGAATGGCGTGTTAATGCATTTTTACTTCGATTCCCTCTCTCTCATGATGGCACCTCATGAGCCTTTTTTATTCCTACTCTTTCAGGCCAACAGGCGGAGGGAAGTACTGCCTCGGAGAGAGGAAGCGCTACAGGTCGTGTAACACTGACGTGAGTTACAGCTCTTAGTTTTTCTTTGTCTGTCAGCAGAATTATTTAGATTTTTTGTTTAACATTTAAAAGCACCTAGTATTGTTTATATTATTACACTTTAAAATAACTGTTTTCTATACAATATATATTTCTATGCAATACAATTCTATACAATAAAATAGTTAGTTTACATTTATTTTCAAATGTAATTTATTCCAGTCTTCAGTGTCGCATGGCTTCCCGTTTCAAAGGAAATACATCAGCACAGGACTTTATGGGGCCTTTAAGGTGAAAATTGAGCTTGTTAGGCAGCCTTTCTACCTCAAATCTTAAAAATAACAGTTAAGCACAAGCAGCGAATGTGTACTTTGGAAAACAAACAGCACCCCCAAGCACTGAAAATGAACGTATGTTGTCCAACACAAACGTGTTGTGGATATGCACTATTGGTGACATCCGATCAGATTCTGGGGGCTTTTGACAGCAGCCCGGCTCTGGTTCGGTGCTTATTAAACAATGAACCCATCACAGATATAATGTAATTAGTTCTTTGACCTTCTGGAATCCAAATGAAGCTTTTGAAGGGGACAACCAAGGGTTGAGGACCACTCTCTGGCATGTTTATGTGGGGCATTCCAGCGTCTGGATTTATTATGGCTGTGGCTTTGAAATTATTAAGTCATTGAGGATACGGCCCCCCTGTGGCTCTGGTTCCAGCCGCGGCCATTGTTCAGTACCAAGCAAAGGTCTGCTATCATTTGTTTTACTTCTCAAAACAATGAGCTAATCCGCACCCCTTCGCTCACTGCAGACTCCATGATCCGCCAGTTTACATGCTGACTAGGGTTAATAACAATGCTGCCATGGAAAGAGGCCAAGTTGAGTCGCATATTAAAGTTTAATTGGATTTAGGGCAATAATGTTTAAATAACATTGAGAGTTCATTACACAATGCATGTTTTACATCAATTTTTCAGAGAAGGGATTTTTTTTAAATTATTATTACAAGAGGCTAATGTGATCATTTGTATTCACAAATGAGTCAATTCCGTCAAAATTATGTTTTTTTTTCTTTTTTTTTTTACTTTTATTATCCATTTCCTAGTAAGTTTTTTTTTAACTTCTTAAAATTAAATCTAAATATAGATTTAGATATATATTTTATTACAAGTTTTTACAGATTTAACCTTTAAAAAAAGAAAAAAAATCTAATAAAATATATTTTTGTTTAATCAAATATATTTTTTTCATTTTTATTTTTTAAACATTTATTACTTTTTTAAATAAAATATTATATGTATATGTAAAAACTTGTTATCCAAGTGTAAGCAATATCCAAGTGTTTGAATGCCTCGGTGAGCACAGTTGGTTTCTGTTAGCATCAAAATTTCTGAAACTGCCATGAAAATATTGTTCATTAAAACTCAGAAGATTGAGACCTGTGAGAGATGTCACACAGAAGACAATGAGAAGTTTGAAGGAGTTGAAAATGGAGTAGAGGTGCACCGGTCAACCATATCAAGAGCTCTGCACAACATCGACCTGTGTGGGATTGTGGTACAAAAATAACTATTACTTAAAATGAACCTTGTGCAACCATGTCTGGAGATTGCCAGAGAGTATTATATCAACCAATGGAGAAAAAGGATCATGTGGTGAAATGAGACCAGCAGAGTTTATAGCCAAAATTAAATGTAATATATCTGACACTAGTGCCCAAATAAGACTGGCCACCTCAAAAAACATCACCTACATTACCGACACTCTTAAAAATAAAGACTTCTAATCGGCATCTGTGGTTGCATGAAGAACCTTTAAAGGGTTAGTTCACCCAAAAATTTAAATTCTGTCATTAATTACTCGCCCTCATGTCGTTCCAAACCCGTAAGACCTCCGTTCATCTTCGGAACACAAATTAAGATATTTTTGATGAAATCTGAGAGCTCTCTGACCCTCCTACAGACAGCAAGGATCCTTAACGATCAAGGTCCAGAAACGTAGCAAGGAGATTGGCAAAATAATCCATGTGACATCAGGTGTTCAACCGTAATATTACGAAGCTACGAGATTACTTTTTGTGCACAAAAGAAAATTTAAAAAACGACTTTATTCAACAATTCATCTCTTCTGCGTCACCCTGGAGCCATTTTTCGGAGAGTATCCACTGAATGCAAACAGCGTATGCTGTTCTGTGTCAGCCGCACCACACGGATACCTTTTCTACGTTGTTTGTGCTTTGATTTGAACGAAAACAACGTATCCGTGTGGTGCGACTGACACAGAACAGCATACGCTGTTTGCTTTCAGTGGATACACTCCAAAATGGCGCCAGGGTGACGCGGAGGACACGAAGAATAAAGTCTTTTTTTTTTCTTTTGCGCACAAAAAGTATTCTCGTAGCTTCGTAATATTACGGTTGAACCCCTGATGTCACATGGATTATTTTACCGATCTCCTTGCTACGTTTCTGGACCTTGATCATGGTAGTACCCTTGCTGTCTATGGGAGGGTCAGAGAGCTCTCGGATTCCATCAAAAATATCTTAATTTGTGTTCTGAAGATGAACGAAGCTCTTACGGGTTTGGAACGACATGAGGGTGAGTAATTAATGACAGAATTTTCATTTTTGAGTGAACTATCCCTTTAACATCCATGCACTCTTTAAATTCTACAAAAGGTTCTTTAGAGTAGAAAAAAGTTTTTTTAAGAACGGTTCACTGAAAGATTCTTTGTGGAACCCAAAATGTTTCATCTGACAGCTGGGAATCTGTGACACTATTTAATATTGTTCAGTGTAGCATAAAATTAAAGTATTATAAATACTCTATAAGTTAATATAATATAAATGAGGGTACCATCTGAATGTTTTTACAAGGCCTCAACGGTTCATTCGCCGCCAATTCTTTTATTGTTTGATCGCAGGCTTGTCCAGCAGGATCACGTGACTTTAGGGAGAAGCAGTGCGCCGATTTTGACAACATGCCTTTCCGTGGGAAGTACTACAACTGGAAGCCGTACACTGGAGGTAGGTTCCCTGCCCAGCACCCAGAGCGATGGGCTTCAGAGGGAGCCGCTCTCTCCCACAGCCTTCCCAAAGTCTGGGTTTCAGTGACAGTATACATACTGGCTTGCTTTGTGTACCCTGCTAACACCAACACTGTGAAAGTCTCTTTGATGGGCTGAAAATTCTTCAGATTCCAGCTAGAACACCATGTATCGCTAGTCTGTGTGTGTGTGTGTGTGTATGACTGTGTATGTACACAGGTTTCTCAGAGAGAGCAGATCTGCAAATTAAAGTGTGACAATTAGGCCTGTCAATGTAATGCAATAGTCCACCCAAAAAAGACAAATCTGTCATCATTTACTCACTGTCATGTCATTCCAAACCTGTATGACTTCTGTGGCACATCAACGTAGTTATTTGGGGGTGTTATTTGGTACTTACTTAGTTTATGTATGTATGTATGTATGTATGAATTGACTGATTAATTGATTGACTGATTGATTGATTGAAGTCAGTGGAGTCTAATGTTGTTTTGGACCCCACTGACTTCACTGTATGGACCAAAACAGAAAAGAATAAAGAAAGAAAGTCATACTGGTTTGTTTGAACGATCATTTATTGCAACTTATTACTAGAAAAATAACTTAAAAATAGTAAATATAAAAAATTATTTATGTTAGCAATTTAACACAAACAAGAGTGTAATATTGTTTTAATATCATATATATGATATAACAGCATGATTGATTATTTGAATGTTTATATACATTTATATATTTATATATTTATTGTATGTATATATAGGAGTATATATAATATGTATAATAATAATAATAATAAATATTATATATATATATATATATACAGCATGATTAATGAATATTTACCTTTTTGTATTTATTATTTGCTATTTATTGTTATTATTATTTGAATGTTTAGTATTTGCTTTTTATATTTATTATTTCATTTCATAAAAATAGTAATAGTAAGTGCATAGCAAAATAAAACAAGTAATAAATGGATGACTTTTTTAAATTGTTCATTCAATGCTTTCGTCTGCTCTATGTAATGTTTACAGATGATCTTCGCTTGGGAGCTTTTCTCAGAAAATTATTGTGATTCATTTACTTTACCATTATATAATTTAATTAGATGAATAACAGTGAAAATCAAACACTACCACTACCTCCTTTGTCTGATGCGTTTTCAGACTGCTTTAACAAAAAAGTGCAGCCGGAAAGCCAGAGGGAAGGGTGCATTTCTTGTTTACAACAAAATGGCCGAACCCAATAAACAAAGAAAAACTGCAAGAGATCGAGAGGCATTTCCAAAACATTCTGACAGGAAGTTCACAGTCGACTCAATCATCTCCTTATCTCGCTGCCCTATAATAAGCATGATCATTACCAATTGTTTGGCTCTTAAAACTCATTTTGGAGGTGAACTTCGCTTGTAAAGTCTGCGATAACCTTTGTGGATGTCTCCATGATTTTTGTTGGCAGCTCTGTTAATCTCTCCCCGTGTCTTTGCAGTAATGATGTCAGGCAAAACGTTCAGATTCCACTATGAGTAATGCCTCTCTTGTGCTCGAGTGCTTTGACTGGATTGTTAATATCAACAAAGGCATAAAAGAAAACCGTGGGCCCCGTCTGAGAGCCCTGGCTCGAGACAGTTGCAAGAAAAGCAGTCTGCGAATCACTTATCAATGCACTGGTGAGGCGAGAGATTGACTGTTATTCCGTACAGATTTTCGGTTTATCGCATGACATAAATCGTGGCCGCCTCTTTGACACTGCTGGGCCGCGAAGGAGTTCTTGAGGACCTTGGGACCCATCAATAACCTGATAAAAGGTCCCAGTGGTGTTCAAGAGAGTGACATCAGTTGATTGACGATAAACTCGCTGTGTTTCTCAGGTGGAGTGAAACCGTGTGCGTTGAACTGTCTGGCTGAGGGCTACAACTTCTACACCGAACGTTCGCCCGCCGTCATCGACGGCACGCGCTGCCAGGCCGACTCGCTGGACATATGCATCAATGGAGAGTGCAAGGTGAGTCTACAGCTCAAATCTCACTTGCAGTGCCTGAAGAAAATCTGAAAATGTACTGTAGTAAGTACCATGCCATTTTATAGTGCTTAAAAGCCACATCCCAATTCCCAAATGCATTCAACTCACTCAAGACACGAGTGAGGTACAGTAGTTTTGAGACGTAAATTACATCTTGATGTCCTAAACATCCTTGTTATATACTGTTTGGCATGTTAGCATTAGCATCTAGCTAAGGTTCTTGCATATCTTTACCTAAAAACCTGAAAATGAAATTTGTGGTAGGTATGGCCTTTTGTACCTCAGCATTTTGTTAGCAACTGGAAAAACTGAAAGGAGAATGGAGACAAAAGCATGAAATGGTGGGTAAAGCTTGCAAGATCTGCTACAAGTATTATATTATCAGGCCACCTTTTGAACACGCTATGGTTGAGTTCAGAATGGAGTTCTAGCATACTGCACACTGTGCATTATACACTGAATGCTACTTTTTAAGGCAGGACACTACAGGCAAAAACATTGTTTTATCATGCACAGGCCTATTTTGAGATTTTGGGGTTTTTGCTTCCATAACGTGGAATGAAAACATCTAAAATATGCTTTTAAAGCATTCATTGCGGTAACACTTTATTTCGATAGTCCACTTTAGACATTCTATTAACAGTAAGTAACTTTGCAACTACATGTCAACTAGCAGTTAGTAGAGTATTAGTAGACGGTCTGCTTAATATCTTCTAACACTTTCTTTGTCAACTTATTCTACAAACCCTAAACCTACCCTAAGTCTACTCTGAGAGTTAGTAGACATGTAGTTGCAAATGAATGAGAATTAGTTGACATGTAGTTACAAAGTTACTTATAGTTAGTAGAATGTCTAAAGTGGACTATCCAAATAAAGTGTAACCTTTATTGCATTACAATGTAATTGCATCATAAAATGATTTGTGTAATTTTCTAAAAGTGAGTATTTTCTCGTGCACTGAGCCAGAAATTTCCACTTCAGCAGCACTTACAAGCTTATCTATATTCTGAAGGGTTTTTCAGGGGGGTTGTTCATTTTTCTTTTGCCTGATTTATAACATTGTATGCCTGAAAATATGGTGAAAATTGACTTTTCTCTGGCTGTTCACAGTATTTTCTTTGTGATAAAAAGAGAAATCCAAAATCTCCTTCTAAAAAAAATTCACTCTAATATGACAACGGACTGAAAGAAGAATTTTGGCTTTTTCCAATATTCAGATTTCCATTCTGGAAATGTATGTAAATTAGTGCATCTTTAGATATTAGTTCATGTCTGATTTGAATATTTAAACTTCGTAATACAAAACAGTTGTCTTTATGTACTGTGATTAACTGGGAAAAGTATGGTGATACCTCTTTTTCACCGTATTCACCTACAGTGCCTTAAAAGATAGTATGTGAACTAGAACATGTTGCCAAGAGAAATATTTCAAAAAGTAGTGCTCTACATTGTTGTCACGTGACATTTTATTTACTTTATTTGCTTGGTTGTTAGAAACTAAAAATAAGCATGCTTGGTAGCATAAGCACTACCAATGTCATAAGTTTGATTCCCAGTGAATAACTGATTTACTATAAAAGCATCTGCCAAATCCATAAATGTGCAGAGTGGCTTGTTTCTACTATATTTCAAAGATTGCTTGTTTTTATGTGGCCCTTGTGGTCTTAAATGTTGCATTATCTTTGTTTATCAGACACTAAGGTTCGCAGATGGACAGTCTACAGAACGTAGCCAATCACTAACACAGAACAATGAAGCCTAAATAAAGGCTGGTGTTGAAGGGGCTGAACCTCTTATCAGGACAGTACAGTTTGGAACCGAATTGTGTTTTCCCAAGTTAGTTAGAAAGGCGGGTGAGCCGCTGGAGAGTGATATTTAATTCACTTACAATATCATTTGTATAACAAACCAAATTGACATAATAGTGCTACGCTTTGTTTATTTTAGGGTTAAAATGGATTGCACTGTGTAGAAGAGATTTTGTCTACAGTTCGGTATTTGTTAGTCTCACACATTGTTGTCCGCGTCCTTGATTTATGTGGTTTAAGATACTATTTTAATTGATCCCCAAGGTTTCCTCTTTGATCTGATCTGGAGCGATGAAATGCACACAATGTTCTTTTAAACTCAAAGGAATCGATGTTACGTGCTGCACCCAACAACCTCTCATTGCATTTTGGATGAGATTCTTACGGTTTCATAATAATGCAAGTAAAGGCATGCACAGGGGTTGCAGAGGGAATATCCAAAACAGTAATCAATCTTATATCTAGTCCAGTGATTCACAGCTGGTCAGTCAAAACCCAAAAATGGGTCACCTGTGTTTTCTGAGCAGGGAGAAAACAATGTTAAATTCAGTAAATAAAATGCAACTAACCACCCTAGTGTAAAATAAATATAGTAACTAAATATATATTTCATGCTAAGTATACTACAAATATATTTACATATTTATGAACTTATTAAAAATACCCTGCAATTGTACTTTTAGTATATTAAACTCTACTAAAATAAATTTTGTGCTTAATGCACTTTAATTGTGCGGAAATAGCGCTGAAGTCCAACTAAAGATACACTGAAGTATATTTGATTGTGCTACACAGTGGAACTATTGCAAGTTTACTTCAGGTTCACTTTAAATATCTTGCATTTAAAGACCGATATTATTCAAAGATCATACAATCATTATTCATAGTGCCATTAAAACACATTTTAGGCTTAATATTAAGAAATACGCATTGTGCTCATTGATACTCCAAATAAAGTTGAATTATCATTTTTATATCAGTAAGTCTTGAGCGATATGTCGGTAAATATGATAATAGATTACTATACAACTATATAATATAATAGGACTATACTTAGTATGAAATAAATGTATTTTAAATATGTAAACCAGTATGGTACTAATTTAGTGCATATTGCCATTTTTGTACATCAAAGGTTGTGTGTCCAGTCAGGCTCAATGGTATTTTGGCCCAAATTCACCTGTAATTTGGTAGAAGCCAGTCAAGTTAGACAAATGCCAACATGGACAGGTTGCGTGACATGCCCTCATAAACAAAACCATGCAAGATGCAAGAAAATTTGACACAACATGAATAAACATGGTTTGTGCCGACCACAATATGTTTTGTGTGGTGAATTATTGGCTGCCTAGAGCATAAAACCAACAAAATTCAATTGACATTTAGAAACAAAACACTAGAAATATAAATACTGTTACTCATGCTTCTGCTATTGTTTATGCACTTTTAAAAAATGTCAATTTTTATAATCAGCCTGTCATATCAACAAATTTCAATGTTTGATTTAAAGGACATTTTTATTTCATTTTGTACAATGCTGTAAATAATTGTGTTACTGTGTTGATGTCCAGTGTAAAATCACGGTCCTGAAGCAAAACTAGAACCATTCATCTTTTCATGTCATATTCTGACTCAATACAGCTGTGTGAATGACATGTTTTTCTTTGAATCAGATAGTCGAGGTCTGAGAACGCCTCGACCGTGTTCCCCTGCACTGAAACACCCTGCCTGTGTGTCTTTCCAGCATGTTGGCTGTGATAACATCCTGGGCTCGGATGCCAAGGAGGACAGATGCCGTGTGTGCGGAGGGGACGGCAGTACGTGTGAGGTCACCGAAGGACTGTTCAATGATTCGCTGCCCAGAGGAGGTCAGGAGGTCACTGATTGTACACTCATCGTCAATAACACATATTCAATATCTTACCATTTCACCATTTCGTATGAGCTATTATGCATTGCCATGAGAATGTGTTAGACAGCCTACTAGGTAAGTACTGTAGTGTAAAACAAATACTGGAAGGTTTGATCACAGGCCGCATTGAACCATGAACTGGAGTGTTACTAAAGGCCCCCCATATACCTCAGGCGAAATCGAAGAATGAATTGGTGTGATGCAAAATCAGGCCAAACCGAAGGTCGTTTGGAGTTTGTTTCTGTACTTGGAAACAGCTTGCCAAAGCAAACTTTCCAGAAAAGTTCGCTCCGGCTGGTAAACCCGTTTGAACTACCATTGATCCGTAGCAATTACGCAATAGGTAGGTGTGGTCCACCTTGACGTGGAACGCCAGGTTTTTAACTTTGTTTTTGACATTGTTCATCTACTGTCCTCAGACGTTATATGTGCATGTATTTGCATTGGTATGACAATTCTCTGTAGATCCCACATTCTTGCATGCCACGATTGGTCGATTCTATACAATGCCTGCACGCTATCATTCAGACTGCTTTTCAAAAACTGCTTTTGAAAACCCTGGACATTTCACGTAATTTACAAATCCTGGCCAGGGCATGTCTGGGGGGGAAAAAAACACATATGGTCATGCTGCTTAAAAGCAATGTATTGTATAATGTGCTGTATAAATCAATGTGATGTACAACCATCCACATCACAATGATCAGACGCTTTCTTAACTGCTGTTTCTCACCGCTGTGTTTTTTGCTGTGTGTTTATTTTGTGATTGAGAACAAAGTGCACAGAACAGACTTGCATAAGTTACGTAATCAGATTACTTTTTTTCCCCCAAGTAACAAGTGAAGTAACATATTACTTTTAAATTTACAACTAGATATCTGAGTTACTTTTTCAGATAAGTAGTGCAAGTTACTTTGTTTCCCATTTTTTGTAGAGAGAAATTGGGAGTTAGGTGTAGAGCCACTTCCTAATTCATTTCACTTTTGGTGTGAAATGGCCTTTACAGTTGCTAAAAAATATAGCTTTTGGGTTATTTAAAAACAAATAAGCGAGCCCAGCCCAGGTGACAAAAAGTAACGTAATGCATTTAGCTACTTTTTGTGGAGTAATTCAATATTGTAATGCAATACTTTTAAAAGTAACTTTCCCGGTAACACTTTAGTATAGGGACCAATTCTCACTATTTACTAGTTGCTTATTAGCATGCCTATTATTAACATATTGACTGTTTATTAGTATTTATAAAGCACATATTCTGCATCCCTAATCCTACCCAAAACCTAAATTTAACAACTACCTTATTAACTATTAATAAGCAGCAAATTAGGAGTTTATTGAGGCAAAAGTTGTAGGTAATGGTTTGTTAATAGCAAGAATTGGACCTTAAAATAAAGTGTGACCATTTTCCTTAACACTGGCAGCACATATTTACATATTTTGGCATCAGGGTGTTCACTAACTTTAAACCGCTGCTTATGTGTATGGCAAACTTCTTTGTACCCCTAAGTGAAGAACGAAAAATAACGTTAAGATGTCCTGTCACCACTGGGCTTCGAGCGTATATCTAGGGCAACAGCCCCTACAGTCAGTGTCCATATTGCGTTGAATATCTGACATTTCTGAAGCTGTAAAATGATCGTAAAATACAATGTGGCGAAATCCACAAGCCACTGCTGAGCTGTATGAAAGAAGAGGAGCACCACGACCCATCTCTCCCTTCAGAATCCCATTCCAGAGAGCGCGCCGCACGCTTGCCAAACGCGACAAGTTTTTAATCGCTTTCCACTAGAGAAATCCCACTTGAAGAAAGCACAGCACAAGCGAGCGGAGGAACGCATTGTCTTTTTGGCAGTGGCTCTTGTCAGGGGGCCAATGGGGTGCTTTGGCCAAGCTCTACATTTTTCATGGAAATGCAGTGTTTTTTTTTTTCATCAGACAACCAATGATAAAGCTTTTGTTTTTGGGTCAAGAAACAAGTTGTCAAAATAGAAGTGGTAACACAATATACGAGTATTAATTGCATCATCCCGTGAGAGAATCAATAAAACTTGTAATATTGCACACGTTGTCGGGCCGCATCCAAAAGTATTCCCTGTAGTAAGGGACTGTTTTCTCCTTTTAAGGTATAGCTGGTAAATCATCTGAACCTTTAAAGGGGAGTTAAGGGTACGGTGTAGATTCTTCCCTTCTAATGAATTTGCTGTTGCTAAGTTAGTTAGATTTTCTTTGAACATGCTGGGATTCTGTTCAAATAGCTTACAAGAAACACTAGATGCAACTAATAAGAATTAGTCATTAAGGTTTAACGACGGGTTACAGATGAAGATGTTCTCGGAAGTAAAAATGCATGAAAAAGTTTCAAACAAAACTTTTGATTTTCTTTTTGGAATTACAGAGTTATGATTAGGAAACTACACAACTTAAATACAAAATATTTTCAAAAGCTTGTGATTAGATACTTAAAAAACTGTGTAAGATGTGACACTGAATGTGCATGCTGTAGTATAGGTGCTTTACCCTGTTGAAAAAAAACAGCATATGCTGGTTAGGTATGTTTTGATGCTGGTTTAAGCTGGTCCTTTGCTGGTTTATGCTGGTCCTTTGCTGGTTTAAGCTGGTCCTTTGCTGGTTTAAGCTGGTCCTTTGCTGGTTTATGCTGGTCCTTTGCTGGTTTAAGCTGGCCCTTTGCTGGTTTAAGCTGGTCCTTTGCTGGTTTATGCTGGTCCTTTGCCAGCACACGACCAGCATAAACCAGCAAAGGACCAGCTTAAACCAGCATCCCAGCGTCAAAACATACCTAACCAGCATATGCTGGTTTTTTCAACAGGGTACTCTCACAGAATGCTAATGCTAATTGAAGCACAGCATTCTAATTTAAGTGACACTAAAAATATAACAACTAAATACATATCTTGGGCTGACTAGTTGATTAGGTGACCATCATGACCTAAATATAATGGCATATAATGGTTTGTGGCACTCATGATGCTAAAATCATGCTCTAAAACAAGACGTACATGTATGTGCATTTACAGACAACTACAAATTGTGCTGTTATATGAGCGACATTCAACTTTTGCTTCATTTTCTAAACCAAATTGTGCATTTTGTAGGTTATATGGAGGTTGTCCAGATACCAAAAGGATCGGTTCATATTGAAATCAGGGAAGTGGCCGTGTCAAAAAACTACATCGGTGAGTGTTTGTATTTATCTTCTTGAAGCTTTGTTCATGAAGCCATACTGGGTAGAAAAGTGGTGAAATGGTTTGTTTTAGGCTTTGTTGTGGGTGTAAATCTGGATCAAGCTGACAGCCATCCTCGCTCTCATGTCTTATATTTGTTCATTGTCTTGATTTTGCCTTTTGTCTTTTCCCAACCGCAAGCTGATTAAAACCATAATGGTTCTCAGCCATGTAACTAATTAAAACAATCAAACAAGCCGGTCCAATTAAGTTGTTTTGAGTGCAAACATAAATATATGTAGTGTGAATGACAGCTTGTTGGGTTTTGTTGTCTATCATGATGATGTAGAGGTTTTTCTCGCCGTTTGAAAGGAAGATATGTTGTCTGATGTTCTAGCACAGCGGTGGCCAACGTTAGCGCCAAAGGGCTTGCGAGAAACGTTTTTAAGAAAATTGTAAAACACATTTAGTCTCCTTCAGACGTTCACATGCATGCCACATTTGTCAAATATAAACACATGGCCCTGTTTAAAGTGAGAATCTTTTGAAATGCCCTTGAGATCCCTAATGTCTGACAAATATTTGGCTAATAATGAAAGCAAGCTTGCAGAACTGGTTCATTTGGTGTTTAACATAAGTCAGTTCTTTTCATTTCTACCTGAAACAACTGTCTTCTTATCTTTGGTTGGTTTTGCCCAATGTGTCATATAACTGATAGTTTGAGGGCATACAATTCTATTATTTTCAGTTATTTCAGTTCAAAGAAGAACTCTTTCACGTATGGTGAAAGCTTATGCATTCATATCAAAACATGCCATGTCACTTTTAGTTAAAAGATTTGCAAGAACCAATTGCCATTTGGTATCATCGATCACTTACCCTGTTATGACACATCTTGACACACTATGTTTAAAAATGTGAATCTTTTTAAGCTATTAAATTTGACTTAAATGTATCTTTTCAGTCACTCATATACAAATCATACAATTTTTATATAGCTTTTTTGTCCCTTTTAGAGCTAGTCACTACTTTCATGCATGGAAAAGATCAATTTAAACATTCTGCCAAATTTCTTCTTTATTGTTCTATGGGGGAAATAAATTCATACTCGTCATTTATACTAAGCTACTACTAAATATTGTAGAAACTTAATTTGCTGTAAAGTTAGGGTGACCATACGTGCCATTTTCCCAGGACGCGTCCTGGCCAGGATTTCTATATTGCCTAAAATATCTAGGTTTTGGCTTTGTTTGCGTGTGCAGACCGATCGGTGTATGACATCAAAGTACCGTACAGACGGTTATGCTTTCGAAACGCTCTCGAAGTACTTTGATGTCAAACACTAATCGGTCTGAGCCGCACTGCTTTTAAGTCGAACACACCTAATATGTACACGTAATTGCATCACTTTGACCGTAGATCCCACCTTCTCACACGCCATGATTGGTCCATTATGTAAAATGCTTGCATGCTATTGGTCAAACTACTTTTCGATCATTACCTTCAGCAAGCATGAAAACAGGAAAACAAAGCCAAAACAAATCCTGGCCAGGACGCGTCCTGGGAAAATGGCACTTATGGTCACCCTATGTAAAGTTGCTTTGCAATGATTTGTATCGCGAAAAGCGCTATTCAAATAAACATTGAATTTTCTTTTTATTTAATTCGCAAATGATAGTGTGCTATCGATTTTAATACTTTAGCCAAATATTAGTACCGAGATAATATTTGGCTATTTGGAGCTGCCCAATGTGTAATAAAACATCCTAATCTTCAGTGTTAGTGTTTCCATTTGAAAGATTTATTAAAAGCACCATTCATTTCTTTGTTTGAAAAATACTTGCAGTACCTTTAAGAAAAATAAATGGTGTCTTTTTGAGCTGGAGTGAGTAAAAAAACATCTGGATTGTTCTTCCAAAATTTGGCCCCATCTGAATCAAGACAAGAGTGAATATTTTGAGGTGTGTTATGCTTTGAGATGAGATCTTTGTTTTGACAACTGAGCAGTTACGGGATTTGTAAGGAAGGCAGACTTTCACCTGAACTTGGTAAGTTAGATCTACAAGCTGCACAGCGTCTGAAAGCGAGAGTGAAAATTGCCCTTGACATCAGGAAGCCTGAGCTCCTCTGTAAGACGATGCTCATCATGTTGATGAATGACAGCGATGTCGTCACTCTCTCTGCTTGGCAGCATCTCGCTCGTGTCGGGTTATTAACTGGAGCTCTCGCTTGTCACAGCTTTGAAATCAGAGGGGGATGACTATTACATCAACGGAGCCTGGACCATCGACTGGCCCCGCAAATTTGACATCGCAGGAACAGCCTTCCACTACAAGAGGCCGACTGACGAACCCGAGTCGCTTGAAGCTTTAGGGGCCACCATTGAAAATTTGGTGGTTATGGTGAGTCGAACTTTATTTACTATGAAGGACACAGTAGTGTTTTTAGTGCTAGTCTTTTAGAAGTATATGTTGAATATGTGGCCTGCTCAACACTATGTAGGAAGAACACTTATGTGGGAAACCTGAGTTTGCATGTAGTAGTGAGTAGTGTATGTCCACTTTCTCTCTTCTACCTGTTTTTTTTCCTGTCTCTTCTCCACTTTCCTTTCAGTAAAAGTAACAAAAGTAATTAGTGACCTCATTACATTTTTATGTAAAATACATTTTATGTCATGGCTAGTGTTTTACAAATACATTCACTGCACGGTCACTGAATTTGTATGACAATTTTGCTTGTTTGTTAAAAGGCTCACGAAATTGTATATTTTATAAAACATTTAATGGCTAGTGTTTTAAAACATGTAAATTTGTTTGAAAGTTCATACCGTAATTATGCAATTGTTTGTTTAATCAGTTATTACATGTTAAAATGTAGAGTTTTTGAAAGTATATACTGTAGCAATTATTTGACAATGTTTTAGTATTTATTAGTTATCTACAGTGTTAATGTTTTAGGAAAATTTTATTTTTTACATTACGGGTGGTGTTACAACACAAAGTTATTTGAAAGTACATAACGTAAATATCCAGCAATGTTTGATTAATCAGTTATTAGTTGTTAAAACATGCAAAGTTGATTACTGTTGTTATTAGTTATCTAAAGTTTTTTGTAAAATGTAGTTTTACGTAATGGTTAGTGTTTTAAAACAAAAAGTTTGTAATTAACAAGTATTCAAAAATTGTTTGTTTGATCAGTTATTAGTTAAATCCCCTACATAATGAAATTATTTGTGACAGTGTTTGTTTAGTTAAAGTTGTTTGAAAACAGATAATGCAATTGTTTAATTAATTATTAGTAATCTAGAGTTTTACATTTTTACGTTTTGGCTAATGTTTTTAAAAATATGTAAAATCATTTAAGTACATAATCATATTTGTTTAAGAAGACTATTAAGAAGCTATTTCACTGAAGGTTTTACATAAAACACATTTTATGAGTTGTTTCATATGCAATATTCAAACATGTAACATGGCAACATTATCAAGTTTAATGTGTCTCTGTATATTTCATGCTATGGACATTTTTAAAATACATAACATAATTTACAAGAACAGAATGCAATGATATGTGTGACAGTTTTTAATTATATTAAAAAGTTTTTATTTTATTTTTTTTATTAAATGTTTTACATAATTGGACACAATTTACATTCTAGCTGCAACATAAAAATCATTTATTTAAAAATTAAGTCTATAGTTAAAGACAATTTCAAATTGGTGAAGGCTTTTACAGAACTATTCAGGCCTTACCCTTGAATTATTGTCAGACTATAAAATCTCACATAATCAAGTTGTCTTATAGTAAAGTCACAGTAGTGATACTGTAGAGGCTTGTGTTCTGAATGTGCAGTTTGAAACGGCTTGGCTCATTCTAAATAAAGTCCACATCTGTGTACAAACCTCACATGAACTCTGGCTAGCGGTCTCAGAGTTAACCGTTATATATGTTTTCACTAAAAACCTCTGTCTGGCCAAATGAGAGTGCTCATGTGCACATGCTTTAGCACGCGTGTGTGTGTTAATTCTGAAAAGCCCCGTCTCGGCAACCACAATGGCTTTCGCCTGGACAAAAGTGCTGGAAATACCAGGCCTGGTCGTAGCACCGCTGGAAAACATACAAGTGGCTAGTGCACCGCAAGCCATTCCATTGTGGCCCACACTGGTTAACATGGCTTTCCAATTTATAACACACACACAATTACAGCTCTCTGACTAAGTAATTCAGGAGTAAAGCTGATGTGATATGCTAAATATCTGCTCGTTCAAGCTGAACTGAGGTTGGGCTCATCCAAAAAATCTCCCCTTCTTAATGATTTGATTGCTCCGTTTCATGCATTTTTAAGACCTCAGTATTTGTCTTTCTGTCACCCATCCAAGACCAACTTCCTTTGCCAAAATCCTTGGGGCAAAAGACCATGGAGGTCTATAATACCTGGAGAAATTCCCATTCATCTCAATGACAGTTGCTTGGTTGGCGCATCCAGCCTCGGACGTACGCAACCCGCATCCATCTTTGCTCATGGACATATAAAATTTTTCTTCTTTGAACCAGTCAGGCTGGGAAATGACATCACGACAACACTGATTGGCTGATGCCACCAAAGAATGTGCACCGCCCCGCTATGAACAACTCTAAAATTCCATCTACTAGTAATATACTGAGATTTTGTGGCCGTCAGTCTGCTAATTGCCACAATTTAGAAAAAAAGTTAACCAGGTAGACAGAAAAGTAACCACAATCAATTTTTAATCTTTTCAGGTGCTACTACAGGAACAGAACTTGGGCATCCACTACAAGTTCAATGTGCCGATCCAGCGTACAGGAAGTGGGGACAATGAAGTGGGCTTCTCCTGGCACCATCTGCCCTGGTCTGAGTGCTCAGCAACATGCGGAGGAGGTAAGACAATCAATCATTCACATCCTTACTAAGAAAATGTGTTGTACCTATTGATCATTAGCCATGTTTCCATCCAAAGTTAGGAAATTAGCTTATGTGCAAAGTTTTCATTCCATGTGTTCAAGAGAACAAAATTGTCACTTCCTTGGAAACAGCTGCAAAGTATTGATAATAAAACTGAAAGTTGTTGCATCCTGTGGCTCTTTTTCACTAGGCCTACATAATAAATCAGGATGCCTGATGTTTGGGAATGCAGTCTTATAGGAGGTGATTATACTAAATAATTTTGATGATGGATTTTGGCTCAGGCATTTAAAAATGGTTAATGACGTAACGTTTGAGATGGTGTTTGATTAGTTATCCAGTTAACCAATCACATCATCTGCTGAGGCAAACTCGCATTACTTTTTTTGATGCGCATCAATGATTTTATTTAATAAATGTATTCCCATTGTAGTTTACTCGCATGATAAACAATGATCAGACTCAATCGAGCGCAAGTTTTTTATGCACATTTTTTAAATGTATGTGCATCCTGGGGGTCCATCAAGTGTTTTTATGTGATATACCAACATTTACATAAAAATAGATGAAAATGTGAAAAATAAGTGGACAGACAAAAGTATGTTCTTGATGGTGTCCCTGTCAGGCTTCATGACTAGCTAAAAGGGATAGTTCATCAAAAATGAAAATTCTGTCATCAGTGAGTCCAACACAAAAGTGTGCATTTGGAATAATTTACTGGTCGTTCTTTTCTGTTCAGTTACAGTGAACAAGAACTGAGCCTTTGAGCTTGAAAAAGGAGAGTTGATGAGAGAAGCAGCAAAGTCTGATTCTTGAATAATTGATCTTTTAAATGAATCAGTTCCATCCAGTTCACAAAACCATTTTGAATTGATTATAATTGATTATTCATTATGAATTGAACTGATCTGCTTCATAATTATCAGCGAATACCAACTGAAATTTTGGTTTGGGCTACATTAATACTTTCATGGTGCTGTACGTTTATGTTCTTTTTGAATCAAGAAAGCTCCTTTTGCTTTGCTATGGCTTTTTTTTGTGAACCGTATTGGACTGGAAATTAATTCTGGTGTTTTCAGCTGAGTCATCTATTTTTATTAGTAATAAAATCCAATAGAATGATAAAATGTGTATTTTATCTGGTCCATCAATTTGTACTGCTAATGTACAAGTTATGCAGTGAACAGAAAGGCTGCCTCTTATTTCAAAACCTGAATGTCGTAACCACATGTAAATGTGAGCCCTCACCTCAAATATGACCAGACTGTTCAGGCTGCCCCGAAATAAATGGCTTTCTTACAACAATAAATAGTTTTCCTCTCTGCTTTTTTAAAGTGTGGCCATTCAAAACATTCAAAATTCTTGTTATTTCACCAAAATATGCGAACATCGCAGGCTAGTCCACGGAGGGTTTTCTCCGGGCTCAGTGAACTCGACCTCATTTGTTGCTCAATTCATTTGAACACATTTTAGTTTATATGGAAATACCCCAGAGCAACACTTATGTCATTTGTGAAATTTTGTGTTATTAATACAACTCACGGCTGTTCTGTTGGCAAGCCACACAGGGAGTGTTTAAACATCGAGTGAACTGCCATAAAAATTCTGCAATATTCTTTTAAAAACGATTCTTGATTCACACCGCTACAGATGCTTGGACTTGATTGCTGCTTTTCTACGAACTCCCATTAAATTTCAATGTTGCCGTCTTATTATTTTGATCGTTATGTGCAACAACACTGATAACGGTCTTACATCATGAACTGATGTCATGAGATTTTACATTTACCCCCTAGTTTGCTTTCAGCGAATCAGGTCTCTTTTCTCGAAAGGGGTCATCGCACTCCCACTGGAGTATTTCATTATTTCGGTTACCCAGTCAAGAATGCCGTATTGGCAGCTATTAGTTCCACCTCACAAGGTGGCCTTGCGCATTAGCCAAGCTTGGCATAAACCAGCTTAACTGGAGGCTAATGTCTTTCCTTATGGGCCCCAAAGAGCCCCTGCACCAATGGCTCCTAGCGCCGAGTATATAGCGTAGCGCACTATTCTGCCATTACTGTGGTAAGGCTCACTTTTCAAAATCAAGAGCCAAAGAAAAGATTGGCTTCTCTGTAAAAGTCATTCACTAAGACACTCACTTCAACCGAGGCATTTACACACCTAGATATTATACTGAGGGAAAAATAATATGGCCTCCGTGCCACCATCCACACAGAGTGCTCTGCCAGCAAGTGGACCCCTAGAGAAGAGACAGAGAAGTAGTTTTACCTCAGGGATCGACGCCGACCACACAGCGCCTTGTGCGCGAGCTGCTGAAGTGTCGAAAACGATCTCCCAGCTGAGAGCACAAGGCAGATGAATGAAGTGGTGCTTTATTGTCTTTTTGCAGGCTCGCAGAAGCAGGAGGTGGTGTGTAAAAGACTGGACGACGATTCTGTGGTCCAAAACAGCTACTGCGACCCAGACGGCAAACCGCCAGGGAACCAGCGACCTTGCAACACCGAGCCGTGTCCTCCGGAGTGAGTATAGCAAATCTGAGGTGTAATTTGAATCTCAGTCTGAAAATTTGTGATTCATATCAGGAAAAAGGCAAAAATTATATATTAAACAATTAAAGTAGAGCCTGTTTATAACCATTACCACTACTGAAAAACAAAGCGAAAATATGATTAAAATTAGAAAATAATAATGTTCAAAAACTGTTCATGACAGTTTTCACATTTTCTATTAAACATTCCTTCTAAATTACTGCAATTTGAAAATGTATGATTTTCATTCTCATTCAGTCATTCTCATTTCGGTAATCTTCGGTGAAAAATAATCTGGACGATGATCATTTTTATTATTATATTAGTATCAATTAAATTCAGTATAATGAAAACGATCATCATACTTTCTTAAAATTGTACTTTAAAGGGATAGTTCACCCAAAAATTTAAATTCTGTCATTAATTAATTAATTATTTGATTACTCACCCTCGTGTCGTTCCAAGTCTGTAAAACCTTTGTACATCTTCGGAACACAAATTAAGATATTTTTGATGAAACCTGAGAGCTTTCTGACCCTCCATAAACGGCAATGCAACGGAAATATTCCAATAAGCAGAAACATAGTAAGGACATTATTAAAGTAGTCCATGTGATATCAACTGTAATTTTTCAAAGCTACAAGAGTACATCTTGTGTGCAAAGAAAACACAAATAATGACTTCATTCAACAATTCTCTTCCTGTCCTCCATCATTATCGAGAGTACCACAATGCATGAGCGTGCTGCTGCTGATGTAGAACACGCATGTGTTGATCCTTGCAATTCTGTCCACATTGAAAGTGAAAAATTCTGCACAACATGACAAAATTTCAACCAATCAGAAGATATTTGATGTAGAGTAATGAGTAGTGTAATTACGAACAAATGATATTTCACATGAAGCAGGGCTACCCTGCGTGACGCATCAAAATTTCACTTGTCATGGTCTCAGCTGGTTACGAGACTTAGATTTTAATGAAAAAGATTTATTGCATCACATCACGAGACTGTGTTACAGTATGCTAATGAGAAATAGGGTTTAACTATCAAGAAATTAATCTCATAGTGTAGAAAAAAAATCTTAATGGTTATAAAAACAAGCTTTATTTATTTATTACATACAAAATCAACTTTTATATATATAATTTTCTTTGAATACTGAGGTGAAATATATCTAATTTCCTACATAGACAGCAATGCAACGGAAATATTCCCATAAGCAGAAACATAGTAAGGACATTATTAAAGTAGTCCATGTGATATCAACTGTAATTTTTCAAAGCTACAAGAGTACATCTTGTGTGCAAAGAAAACACAAATAATGACTTCATTCAACAATTCTCTTCCTGTCCTCCATCATTATCGAGAGTACCACAATGCATGAGCGTGCTGCTGCTGATGTAGAACACGCATGTGTTGATCCTTGCAATTCTGTCCACATTGAAAGTGAAAAATTCTGCACAACATGACAAAATTTCAACCAATCAGAAGATATTTGATGTAGAGTAATGAGTAGTGTAATTACGAACAAATGATATTTCACATGAAGCAGGGCTACCCTGCGTGACGCATCAAAATTTCACTTGTCATGGTCTCAGCTGGTTACGAGACTTAGATTTTAATGAAAAAGATTTATTGCATCACATCACGAGACTGTGTTACAGTATGCTAATGAGAAATAGGGTTTAACTATCAAGAAATTAATCTCATAGTGTAGAAAAAAAATCTTAATGGTTATAAAAACAAGCTTTATTTATTTATTACATACAAAATCAACTTTTATATATATAATTTTCTTTGAATACTGAGGTGAAATATATCTAATTTCCTAAACATGTGGCTTATACTCAAGGTTTTGCTCTCTTTGCCAGCCTAGGATGAATTGTATTCCGTTTTGATGAGCCTTATCAAAATAGCACATAGCTGCCCAGAAATAAAAAACGCAAAGTGCCACAATCCGTAATGTTTAATTTGTCTTTATGGCATAAAGAGCCTCTTTGAAGACAACTTAAAAACTAAGATTTATTTCTTCATATGTTGCCTATTTTCATTTGGACTTTGGTGCCAAAATCCTAAAGGCGTCCAAAAAAAGTATGAGTGATCACCTGCGTTTAATTGTATTGGCTAGCAGAGTTTATGAACCCTCAAGGGACAATATCCATAAACGTGTGGAGTATGCGTGTGTGCGGCGGCCAGATGCACTTAGCACTCATTTTCAATGGGGCGAGCAGCTGAGCAAAGTTCACTTGTGTCTGCAAATTTTAAATTGGAAGGAGGAATTAAATGGTTTTGGCCTCTGCGCTCCTGCATCTTGCCAGTGGAGGGTTTAGTGAACCTGAACCCCAAGATGGGCATCGCTAATAACATCATCTTAAATCTATTTCCATCTCCACCTGATGTCAGAGGAATGCAGTCTCTGGCCCAGAAAGGGTCATGATGGTCATTCGAGAACACCCTGTTGTTTTTGGGGAGGTAATTCTCTCTAATGATCTTGCAGATAATGACAGTTTATATTTCATTAATAATTTATGTCCAACTTTAATTTTATTTTACTTGTAGTGTTTCATAAGACACATCGTCCATTGCTTTATCAGAGCATCGCCAAGAGAATGCAAACAAACCGCACGGAACTTAATTCAGCTGTAACAAATGATAAAAAGTCAGACGTTTATATAAAAATGCCTGTATTCCACAGCCCAGCTAAAAGTGTTGAACTCATTTTGCCAAAAATGAAGACAAATTGAACGCAAATTTGGAATTGTTGTTGCCATTGTGTGGAGTTCGCAACCCGTTGAACGTTAACAATGTGTATTTGCAGGGTCCAAAACTAAATGAGAGTGCAAATATGGTTTTGGCGAGTAAATAAAATGGCGTTTCAGGCCATTCATGCCAGAAGTTTGTTTTCCCGGTAATTCCAGACTGCCATGTGGCGAGACATTATTTGCGTTAAGCGCCTGAAAATAATATATAAAAATCAAAATCTTGATGGTTTTATTCAAGGTTTGTATATGATGCTGGAAGTGTGGAACAGTCACTGCTTAGGAGAATCTATTTATTTATTACTATTTGTAATAAGGGCAACAAAAATATATTTTGATGAAATAATGCATATACAGTTCTGTGGTTGGTAATAAATATTTGTGGATGGAGAATTTTCTTTTTGTGAAAAAAGTCAGAAAGATGTTTTAATGTTTTGTCTCTCACGCTCATCAATGCTTCATTTATTTGACAAAAAATACAGTAAAATTGTAATATTGTGAAATAGTATTTAGTAGAAATAGTAGGTTTTTTTTGGGGGGGGGGGATTCTTTGATGAAAATAAATATCAAAAGTATTTTTTTTTTTGGTAAAAAAGTCCTAAAATCTTATTGACTCCAAACTTTTTTTATATGCTATGCATATTTCACCAAATAAGTATTTTATAATGCAGAATACAGTTCTGTGGTTGTTAGGAATTATTTATGGATGGAGAATTTCCATTTTTTGCATCAAAAGGTACATTTTGGACCCCATTTATTTGTGTTTCAGGTGGTTTATCGGTGACTGGTCAGAATGTGGGAAGACCTGTGATGGAGGCGTCCGAACACGCACTGTTTTGTGTATCCGTAAAATCGGACCCGCCGAGGAGGAGACCCTGGAGGACAACCACTGTCTGACCCATCGGCCAATAGAACAAGAGTCCTGCAACAATCAGTCCTGTCCGCCCCAGTGGGTGACGCTGGACTGGTCTGAGGTGACTCGATGTGTTTTTATGTATTTGTATTTCCTCTAGAATGCCTGGTAATCTTCTTGTTTTAATATTGTTGTGTTTTTGTTTATAGTGCACCCCAAAGTGTGGCCCTGGCTTCAAGCAGCCAGTGACGTGTGTTTCCGTGAGTGACAGCGAGTATAACAGCTCAAGAGTGTGTAGTGGTAGTAATATCATCCAGATTGTTTGAAGTTTATCTCTGCAGTAGACAAGGTTTTCTGTCAATGCCAAGAATATGTTTTAAAAAAGACAAAACGCATCACTCTCAGACAGATCTTGTGGTTTCTCTTTTTAAAATAATGTTACGATCATAATAACTGTGGTGGCTTTTAATAATTTTTTTTTAAAAATGCCACAAACAAAAGATAGACAGGTAGTATTCAATAAGGGAAAAAATGTAGGGCAGAATATGATCTTATCCTTCAGGAATTGATTTCTGCATTTTTCTTTGTTTCCCTTGACTTGGCTTTTGGATTCATTGCAGAAAATAACGTCTGTGCCCAAACAAATGTTTATGACACATTTTAGTTATTGTGATGATCTTCAACAACTAAATTTTAAAGATTAAATACTATCAGCAAACGTCGGTTGGAGTACTGTTATCACTAGAATATCACACTCCTCTCAGCCAATCAGATTCGAGGACCGGAAAGAACTGTTGTATATAATATATAATATAATATAATATACATTTAGTCATTTAGCAGACGCTTTTATCCAAAGCGACTTACAAATGAGAACAAAGGAAGCAATCAAAATCAACAAAAGAGCAATAATATACAAGTGCTATAACAAGTCTCAGTTAGCTTAACGCAGTACACGTAGCAAGGGTTTTTTAAATAATATAATAAATAAAAAGAAAACAGATAGAATAGAAAAAGAATAGAGCAAGCTAGTGTTAGAGGTCTTTTTTGCTTTTGTTAATTGTATAAAAAATGAAAAGAAAACAGATAGAATACAAAAAGATTAGAAAGCAGATGTTTTTGTATTTTTTTGTATTATTTTATTTTTTTTAAAGAAAACAAGCAGCAAATGAATAAAGTGCAAGTCTAAAAGGGACAAGTGTTTTTTTTTTAAAGGGGTCATATGATGCGATTTAAATTTTTCCTTTCTCTTTGGAGTGTTACAAGCTCTTGGTGCATAAAGAAGATCTGTAAAGTTGCAAAGACTAAAGTCTCAAATCCAAAGAGATATTTTTTATAAAAGTTCAGAGTCAACCACGCCTACCTAAAACACCTCGTTCTAACACGCCTCCACATGTCTACATCACTATGTGGGAAGATTTGCATAACGCCGCCCAAATGTTCACGCAAAGAAAGTATAATCCGTAATTATGTCCCCACTGGATGCAACAAATTTCTTTTTTATAATGGGTTTTAATGTTTTTGTTTTGTCGCTCCGGTCGGACAAGGCATCACAATATGGTAAGGGACGTAACATTTCCGTCACACGCTTGAGGTATTCGGCCAATCACAACACACTGGATAGCTGGCCAATCAGAGCACACCTCGCTTTTCAGACCGATGCTTGCAGAACGCAAGCTTCTAGAGGGCACATAAGTCTGAAGTAATGAATTTAGGTAAAGGAGTGATATAAACCATCAATATTGGCTTCATGTAAAATTCTACACCACTTATAAGTGATAATGAAGGTTACAAAATTAACAATAATTTTATGATCTGAAAAATATATTAAACTAACAAAAGTCCAGATTTTTCCATCTACCTGAATGAAGCTACAACTACTGTAGTACAAGTTTCGCCATCCTATGATTCCTGCAGTGAACTGGGACTCTCATAATGGAGAGGCTGTTGAAGGGAGCCGTGGGCCAAAAGGTCACTGGTTCAAATCCCACTTAAGGCCCTCACTGACATATGCCGTCTGTCAGGGGCTAGCACTCTAATAAAGTCTGTTTAATTTAAAGGGGATGAAATGGGAAGGCTGCTGGAAACTCATCTGAGATGTCTGCACTCCCAGTCCCGTGAGGGGTCCTTCACTGTGGGTCTTACACGTGTTTATGACTAAATCCACATCAGATCCTTGTCTTGGCATGCGACGTCAGCGTTTCTGTGGCATTCACATTAGGCGCTACAGCAGAGTGACTAATGAGCGAAATTTGTGTGTATTGGGTTGCAAGGCAACTCATTAGTTTTTCCATTGAATCACTGAGCTACATCATGGTAAGAGACTACTGGAATACATCTCAGTTTCACTTCAGACAGACGCAATTTACTCCCTCCAGCAACGTCGAGACCTCTAATGTAGAACAGCTGACAGTAGTCAGAGATTCAATTAAACTATTACAATGACATTCCGCAAGTAGCTCTCGCTCCTTAGTTTTGGAGCACTGATTTTGGGCCAGAATTCACAAGCTTGCCATAGACCGCCTGATACACACTGCACACAAACATGCCAAGTGCAGACTAAAATCATTTATACCAGTCTGATTGGTTTGGCTTCTACACAATGGAATCTATGCACACTACAATCTGAGCGCCAAACGAGTTTCCGATACAGAATTCTCCCATAGAAAACTGGTAGTAAACTCTTTCTGTAATATTCCTAATAACTGTCGATCACAACTAATTATATTGTATATTATATATATATATATATATACACACACACTGTATCAGCAACTGTAGTGTATGCAACATTTTAGTAATGAGTTTTAAAACTTTAAATACTTTTAGTGTGAAGGTAGATCATATTAGTATTGCTTTGTCTTGTAACTTCCTCAAGATTTAATTTTGCGCATATTTTTTCTCACAATTTCCATACACTGCACTGCACTGGAAGTTCCGGTGACCACTGAGTGCCACTAAATGCAGAAGCAATCATCTATAGAGTGCATTTATAGAAGTCAACATGTTTTTATAATTATAAGAAATAACCAGTTGCTAAATTTCCCTGTGGTTCTGGCATTGAGAGGTCAAGAGAGAGAGATTTTTGTTTGCACTACTCGGTAGAAAGTAAGAGATATCCTTGAGCACACCTTAATATTCAACCTTATTTCAGAATTGAATTTTATTTCAGATTTGCTTGCCCCTAAATACTCTGTAAATCAAACTAACTGTTGTTGGTAACCATTGTTGAACCTCTTCCTGTTTAAGTCAATGGTTCTTGGCTAGAATAGGTTGCAAAGTGGACAAGACGTCCACTAGGTGAAGTCTAACTTAATTGGCTCATTATGGCAAAGTGGCTCGAAAGATATTAACCTGGGGTTTGCTTATTCATACATGTTGTCTCATATTTCAACTCAGATATGCTCTTCACTAATTGTTGTACCATTTAAAAAAACTGATTTTATTATTGTATTAATTTATTAATAGAAATAGAAAGAGACAATAATGTAGAATGTTAATATCAGTATCTGTTGTAATATCTCTGCATCCCCAGTTATGACGTATGTACTGTAATAGAGGCTGTACTAAAGGCTCGCCATGTGTTTTTGCAGTGCTCTGCTCAATGTGGACTAGGGCAGCAGATGAGGATGGTTCAGTGTCTGTCATATACGGGACAGCCCTCCACCGAATGTCCAGAGTCACTACGGCCAAACATCATGCAGCAGTGTGAAAGCAAATGTGACGCTATACCCATCTCCGGTGGCGACGGTAAGTCAATCACTCTTCCGCTAATCCTGTGGCTTATGAGCGTTTCGTATGAGCTGCATCTGGCTTTGATCACGGTGTTGACATTTACAAAGTTTGTGGCCTCTGCGTTCAATTTTGAATTAACAAAGGATTATATTGTTCTGTTCTTGCCTGTTATTAACTACCTCAGTTTGAAATCGAGACACTATTTAGGCGATCCTGGATTCAATAAAACGTCCATGACCCTCACGAGATGGATCCCTATTCAGATTCCTTCACTGGGGAAGCAGCGTTAGATTATCTCTCCTAATGGACCCTAATAGGATTAGTTGTATCCTAATCAACAGCAGTGACAGAATGTCTACTTTCATTGTCGTCAGCCATGACAGTTTAAAGAGCCTAATAAGGAAGACATATTAATTGAGGTAGGGCCAGTTAGCACCATCAGCACACTGCCACACTAATGCAGATGGCAGTCTGCCCGCGCCGTGAATCAGGTCGCTCTCTTTTTACGCTTAGATGCTGTAATTACCATAAGAGGCTTGTGTCCAGGCCCTGAGTCATGGCCTCTTGAAGGAGAACTCAGAGTTTTGGCTTTTACACAAAGGAAGTCTATTAGCTTTCCAGTGCTGCAGGGTCATGCAAGATTCTGTCCTTGTCCTACAGAATCCCCCTTGGACCCGAAAATAACTTTTAATTGGTACTCTATTCAGTGCCTGTTTAGAAATCCCACAGAATCACCTTTTCATGTAAATGTAAATACGACATTTAATATCTTTTGACTGTTTGACAGATACAGGCACGTATTTGTTATGGTTTCCCCAACAGCATAGTGTCACATTTGCGATTTTAGAACAATTAGTGGAGGAACTATCAAGCTGCTAGATTCAATTCAGATTTCACACCTAACCACAGAAATACCCTTGCTAACCGACTGTCCTTCATATTTACTCAAATGTAGGGCCCTATGATTATTGCAATGTGGAAAACATGGACAGAATCGCGGAATCCAGTCATAAAAATGGTATAATGTGGAATGTCACGGAATTTGCCAAATTTTGTATGAACCAAAAGTAGGTCAGTATACTTAAAATGCGATATGGACTAGTGTCTGTGAATATTAAGCTGCAAAAATACAATTTAAATACGAATCCTGCATGTTCTGCATGTCTTTGTGTGAATGAATGGAGCTGACGCGCGGTTTCATATACTACACACATACTCAAGCGTGCGTGATCCTCGCAGTGTATTTAGTCTCTGCCGCCTAAATATAAGAATACATGAACATGTGAACATAATCTCTAAAACTGCTCTGAGAGTCACTTAACAAGCATTTTACCATTTCTTTTGAGTAAACAGAAACTTAAAAGGGTTAGTTCACCCAAAAATAAAAATTCTGTCATTAATTGCTCACCCTCAAGTCGTTCCAAACCCGTAAGACCTTTGTTCATCTTCGGAACACAAATTAAGATATTTTTGATGGAATCTGAGAGCTCTCTGACCCTCCAATGTAGCAAGTACATCGGTAAAATAGTCCATGTGACATCAGGGGTTCAACCGTAATTTTACGAAGCTACGAGAATACTTTTTGTGTGCAAAGAAAACAATAATAACATAATTTAGTCAACAATTCTTCTCCCCAAGTTACCATCTTACACCATTTTGGAGAACACCCCAGAACGTAATCAACGTAATCAGCGTTGATTACATTCAGTAGGCAGCGCACACTGATTACGTTGATTATGTTCTGGGGTACTCTCCAAAAGCTCTCCAGCTAACCTGCTACCTTCCCGCACGAAATGTGTTTGTTTTACTACAAATATCATGGTTAAACTATTGTTAGTGTAGCAAAACCATGGCTAATTTGTGGTTACCATGATCTACCCTGTTGAAAAAAACAGTATATGCTGGTTAGGTATGCTTTGAAGCTAGATTTATGGAATTTGCCAAATTTTGTATGAACCAAAAGTAGGTCAGTATACTTAAAATGCGATATGGACTAGTGTCTGTGAATATTAAGCTGCAAAAATACAATTTAAATACGAATCCTGCATGTTCTGCATGTCTTTGTGTGAATGAATGGAGCTGACGCGCGGTTTCATATACTACACACATACTCAAGCGTGCGTGATCCTCGCAGTGTATTTAGTCTCTGCCGCCTAAATATAAGAATACATGAACATGTGAACATAATCTCTAAAACTGCTCTGAGAGTCACTTAACAAGCATTTTACCATTTCTTTTGAGTAAACAGAAACTTAAAAGGGTTAGTTCACCCAAAAATAAAAATTCTGTCATTAATTGCTCACCCTCAAGTCGTTCCAAACCCGTAAGACCTTTGTTCATCTTCGGAACACAAATTAAGATATTTTTGATGGAATCTGAGAGCTCTCTGACCCTCCAATGTAGCAAGTACATCGGTAAAATAGTCCATGTGACATCAGGGGTTCAACCGTAATTTTACGAAGCTACGAGAATACTTTTTGTGTGCAAAGAAAACAATAATAACATAATTTAGTCAACAATTCTTCTCCCCAAGTTACCATCTTACACCATTTTGGAGAACACCCCAGAACACGTACAACGTAATCAGCGTTGATTACATTCAGTAGGCAGCGCACACTGATTACGTTGATTATGTTCTGGGGTACTCTCCAAAAGCTCTCCAGCTAACCTGCTACCTTCCCGCACGAAATTTGTTTGTTTTACTACAAATATCATGGTTAAACTATTGTTAGTGTAGCAAAACCATGGCTAATTTGTGGTTACCATGATCTACCCTGTTGAAAAAAACAGTATATGCTGGTTAGGTATGTTTTGAAGCATGGCTACTGGTTTAAGCTGGTCATGTACTGGTTTAAGATGGTTGTTTGCTGGTCCTAAGCTGGTCCTGAGCAGGAGCTAGTTGCTTAGGACCACCTTAGGACCAGCGCATGACCAGCTAAGAACCATCTTAAACCAGCTCATGACCAGCTTAATCCAGTTCAAACCAGCAGCCATGCTTCAAAACATACCTAACCAGCATATGCTGGCTTTTTCAACTGGGCAACTATATTAACCATGTTTTTTTTTTTTGTAGTAAAACCGTGGTTAACTTCTGTAAGGATTAGCATATTTATCATTCTAATTATCCTTCTTGCTTAGTGTATCAGCAATTTACTACACTACTACTACTACTTATTTGTGCTATTTACTATGTGTAGCTACCTCTGCTACAAAAGGATTACTGGAAAGGCTAATAACTGGATTAACAAGAAGAAGATACTGTAATAGGGATAGAATCTTACACAACAAAAATTATTAGTGGAAATGTGTCATGTTGCATCTGATTAGGACAACATGAGTAATGAGGTTGGGACAGACAGGAAATAAACATTAGCACAGGCCAGGTTGTAAAACATCCACCTGACACTGTACCAACATTCAGTGTCATTACAAGCATGACAGGACAGTGAGATTTATATGGAAGTTGACATATTTTAAGTCTTTCCATTGCTGCTCCCTTTTACTAGCATATGAAAACTTGAGCCGCTCACCCATGCACTAGCCGCGTTTCCACTGTCGGGGCAAAAGCGGGCGTGCTAGTGCGTGCCAGGGCCAGTCGCGTTTCCACTATCACTTCCGGGGCTTGATCGTGCCTCGTCGGTGCTTCCTCAGATTTTTTGGCTTGACGAAAACTTTGGGCCAAAGCAGGCCAGCTGGGGCTAGAGGAGTGGTTATGAACAAAGGCGGAGTTTCTCCGTGTCTGGAGAGCTTCAGCGCCACGGATCATTTCATAAAGTTAAGAGCTATAACACCAGCATTAAAGACTTTTAAAATCATTTTAGTTCAAAACTCACTTTCACACAGCAGCGAGTGTTTGAAATAACTTGATCTGATGTGGATTATGATCACCGTACAAGGCAGAAATATTTATAAGCAATGCAAAAGACTATGCATGCTAGCCATTAACGTGACCATAGTAAACATGGTAAATATGACCGCTTGAAGAAATCAGACGTCAGCTTTTTATTCTCTATCACAATCGTGTATTTATTTAGTAACATATTTTATCTGTCATAAGTCTCATCTCGAGAGTTTAGCTCCGCGTATGTCATAAAAATATAATAATGGTTTTTGTTCGGGAGCTTTTATAAAATATAGAAATGATCATTCTTTCGAAATGTGATGTATATAACTGTGACTACAAATAAACAGAAACAGACTCGACTGAATAAGTAGGTAGGCTATGTTCATACCGCTTTATTTCTGTGTGACTAATTTTCAATCCTGATAAATTAATTCATTATGATCAACGGCCGCTTTTATCATGTTCGTTTTGTGATCGCGCAAGTTCCAGTGACTTATTTCTTATTAGTTTTCTGATAACTTCTTTGTTGGTGAAATGATGGGGTTGCGTGACGTTGTTTAGAGGTGTGTAAAGGGTGGGTTTTATTGAAGCACTGGCTCGCACTGGCCCCTACAGTGGAAAAGCGGCTACTGATTACCACCTTGATTCACCCAAAAGATGGTCCTCCAAACATGCTTTTCAACAATGATGATACGAGTAAAACTTTCTTCAATGTAGTCAATATAGAAACTCAAAAAACTAGTTGAATTACTTTAAGCTTGTTCGTTTTCAAAGTAGCTGGTGTTTATTCCAATGAAGAGCTCATGAGAGATTTAAGAGAGAGAGCTGGGCCCAGTTGTAGTTCCAGCAGTCTCTGGGTTCTGATCAAAGTCCTGAGTCACTGTTCCACACAAACTTGCCTATCATATAATTGGATAGTTCAACCAAAATTAAAAGTCTGTCATGATTTACTTGCCTTCATGTCATTCTAAACTCATCTGACTCATTTTTCTTAATGATACCTTTATTCTGATTTCAGAGCTTGACAGTCCCAACGCAAATTAATATTTTGTTCCACTAGAGCAAAAAAAGTTATATGAGGGTGATGGCAGACTTTTCATTTCAGGGTGAACTATCTCTTTAACAAGCTTTCAAGTTTCCCCTTTGTGGTTCCCCAGTATCAACCACTTACTCCTTCACGTATCCTTTCTCATTCCACCTTTTTTCTCTTCCCCTAGAGTGCAAAGACGTAAATAAGGTGGCATATTGCCCATTGGTGCTGAAGTTCAAGTTCTGCAGCCGTGCGTACTTCAGACAGATGTGCTGCAAGACGTGCCAAGGACACTGACCCCATGGAGAGAAGCAGAGACAGATGCTGCAACGAGGAAAGAGAGAGAAAACTGGCAGAGAGAAAAGTCAATGCTGGGCACAGAAGAAAGAAGCCTCTCTCTCTCGCTAATCAACACACACACAACTGCTTTTAGCCCTGTGGAACCCAAACCACTGCTCAGCACTGCGCTGACACCTGTTTTATTTTCACTTCTGTGAAGTGGGAATGTATAAAATGATCATTATTGTTGTTATTTTTATAATAATAATAATAATTGCTATTGGTTATTATTATTATCAATGTCTTTCTGTTGTTATAATCCAAAGTGCTGGACACAACACTCACAGAAGTAGCACAGCAGAGGTTTACTTCAAGGCACCCACATAAGGGAGTTCGGGACATTGGTATAACCCTGGGTCTTGCATACACACTCCTAACATGGTTCTGTTGGCAACATTACATTCAGGAACATTCAAACCAACAATGATTGCTTACACTGGCAGCATCGGATCGATTGGAAGTAATTTGTTTTGAATAAGAGTTGGCGATTTGAGGCAACATGAGTGTCGGAGACTGTTGATGGTGTGACAAAGTACCGTAACCAACAACCGGAGTGCAGACACTGTCATTCATGTGATCCGGCATCCGATACAGCAGTCTGATGGGAACATTTCCAAACATGGATAGTACTGAAACTTGGTGACTGCAACATGCATTAGGTTTAAGGTAAAAATAACAATCCAAATCTTCCACCCAAATGATATTTTTCACTCCTAAAATCAAAGAAGTATAGATCAGGGGTAACCAATCCTGCTCTTGGAGAACTGCAGACTTCAGTTCCAACCTGCTCCAACACACCTGCCTGTTATTTTAACTAAACTCTGCGGGATGGTAGCCCTCCATGAGCAGGATTGGTATAGACTGAATTGACACTTGGTTTTTGATTAAAAGTACAGACCAGGAGTGTCCAATCCTACTCCTGTAAGGGTCAATATCCTACAGAGTTTAGCGCCTACCTGCCCCAACACACATGTCTGGAAGTTTCTAGTCATCCTGAAGATCCTAATTAGGTGTGTTTAATTAGCATAGGAGTTGAAACCTGGCTGCATTCCACTTCGCTTTTAGTCGTACTTCTCTAAGCACTTCCCCTCAGGCGAATCCCCGCTGCCATTTAAAAGTGCGTTCTACTTTGTTAAGTCAACAAGGGAGGTTTATAGAGAGCCTCAACCCCTCGATTTTTTACTAAGGGTGCTTAGTGTACACTTCAGGCAGCTCCATGTACAAGAATGCAACAGGATTGTGACGTCACCTCAGATCGTGTTTAATTTACCCCCACAACTCTGATATAATAATTATTTTTCAAATATTAAAAACAGTCCAAGCATACGTCTACACATATGCTGCATAAAACTAATTTGTTAGGGGGGAAAATTTAAATAAATTAACTCCATAGCAGATTCCAATTGATCAAGGGTTTAGCACGTTCCATTTTAGCCCATTGCAATGATCCTGCCAGTAGTGGGCACTCGTGCAACATGATCAATGATGTACATCCGAATCAATGAGACTGATGGAGGTTAGCAAGGGAAGGGCATAAAAAACAAAGTGGAACACAGCCAGTGTAGGACAGTGGCCCTCCCGGAGCAGGATTGGACACCCCTAGATGGTTAGGCAATGTTATTCAGCTTGACCTGTTTCTTTTTGCGGTTAGATGGAGATCGTACTAGATATACATGTGGTTTAATTGAAATCCGTAACTTGGAACTTCTATGCACATTGATTCACTTGGCAAATGCTTTTTTCCAGAGCAACTTCCATTGCATTCATAGGTTACAACGCTTGACCTTGGCATGGCTTGAGCCAGGCTCTACCAGTTGAGGAACTTCTAAACTTCTAAACTAAAGTTGTTTTGACAATAACTTTTGAAAGTAAGATAGAGACCCAAGGGCCAAAGACAAACAGGGTAGTGTGATTGGGTGCTTTGGTGCTGAATTTGTGCAGAAGAAATCTCAATTAGAGCTTCAGAGTCCAGATGTTCAGTTGAGTTAGCCACCTGTTTTACTGAGCTGAATCACATGGCCACAGGCCAAAGAATTCCACCATTGTCTGACACTCGAACAAGGCCTGAAAATCAGATCAGTTCCAAAGGGACGTTTCTACTATTGTGTCTCTAGAATTATTGTGGACACCAGAGAGACATTCATTGCAATTCTGACGTGATTCTGCTTTATGGATCCATATTCTGCTTTAAATTCTTGGGTTCTGACATCTATGTGTCTGTTCCGGGGACCGGCATGTTCCAGACGCAATAATTTTCACATAAAATGCGTGCTGCAGCCACACTCTGCCACATTATCAGCAGAATACACAGACAATCCATCAGCACAGGGATGACCAAGTCTGATCTCAAGAGATCTCCAAGTCTGTGATGCCGATGCATTAGTAAAGTTAAGTGAAGGGCCAGTGCCTGGGTAACCTGCCAGACCCCACAGATCCGGTCTTCAAATTGACTACCTCCAAAACACCCCCTCTTCCTCCTTCCCTGCGATCACAGTGCTTCCAACCCACACTCTTAAACCCTCCACATTCAATGGTGCTTTTCTTTCCTCGGTGGAGCACTGTTTGTTCCACTGCCCTTCTTCCGCTCATCTTTTGAGTGGGTGGCTCTTCTGGCCCCATGGTGCTATAAGACCTTGATGCATTCTGGGTATGCGATCTGACAGAAAACCAAGAATACTTTAGCTCTGTTCCAAATCCTAGTGAGCTCCCTACATAGACCGTCTTTTTAAGGCATCATAGGTCTTTCTGGTGCAACAGTCGTTCCAAAACGTAGTCTGTTCCTTTTTATGAGACCTTGTTTTTTTTAACAAATTTAAAGGCAGAATCACATTTCTTTTGTAAAGGCAATCCCAGAATTCATTGCTCAGTGTCAGACAAAGTGAAAAATATGTGCTATGCATTTTTATGCTTGTTGAACCATTGTGTCATTAGCTTATCTACTGGAATCATTTGTGCGTCATGTTTACTGTGCACTTTACGAATGCTATTTGTGTGGCATGTGGGGTTGTTGCCTACACAGTGTTTCAAATCAGTCAGTCGACAGGTCCTATTCCCGTTACGATGCTGCTTTATGCCTGAAATATACTCTACACAACCACACTTTGTCGATGGCAAATTCAAGCTAAGCTTGATTTTACGTTGCATTACAAAACATGTTGGACCACGTCGCATTCTTAACGTTGACACATGCTAAGTATGTTCAACAGGACCGCATGTTAGCATACTTGCCTAAGTCATGTTTCTTGACATGGAAAGCAGCTGACGAACCCACACAAAGAAAAGCAGCTTGCTAGGTTTTGGAACAAAGCTTTTGTCTGTCTTTCTTTCTGTCCTTTTACTTCACATTGGTTTATGTTTGTAAACTTTCCATCAACTCCATGTTGCATTTTGACTTAACCCTGCTCTCTCTTAGCCAAGGGAACATCAAATGATAGAGCATCAATTTTAGATCTCACCTTTGTTACGGGACACAATAGATTATTGAAATTGAGGAGTTATGGAACATTTTTATGTTTTTTTTAATCATACAACCATTCTACTTTTGCTGCTGCTACTCTTTTGTAGCCACAAACACAATATCAATCGATTATGTATTATAAAATGTTTATACTGGGATTATTCAACAGTGAACATTGAACAGCGGAACTGTAAGCCCAACATGCTGAGCATCCTGTAAAATCCTAAGGCTTGAAGTACAAGTTTACTGGCTTTGGGACACGGACTCTCAATAAGACACTCAATGAAACTGGTACTGATCGCTGTGAACTTGTGTCTTTGAATGTCACATTGTTTAACCTGTACCTATAGAAGAGAGTTTTGCATTTTTTGTGAATAGTTGCTTACATTTTATATTCAGTATTATTAATGTTGGTACACTGTTACTAATTTTTTTTTTCTTTTCATTTGTAAATTATATGCTAATTTATTGCCATGTGTCACTTGTCTTATGTATGTTTCACTGCATGCCAACTGAAATCTAGTCTAGTGAAATCGATGCAGTGGAATAACACCCTTCACGATCTATTTTTAGTCTTGGTAAAATGTGAGTTTGAATGTGTCTTATTTGCTACTAGAGCGCTCTTAAACCTACGTCAGAATGCTTTTGTGTGAGTCGGTGCGTTTGAGTGTGTGTATGTTGATATGATATTACTGCACTGTTTCTCGAGGGCCAGTGCTCACAAAAATAATAATAATAAATAATGGTAAATGGTGTCAAAGGGTAAGGACAAAAATATTCCAATAGTAACTTTAACATTCTCAGTCCTTTGGCTTGTACCCTTGGTGAATCCAACAATATGTAATGGATCCTGAATAAAATGACTTTAAAAGGGTTGTGTTTGCTTAGATGTTCTTTCCTGTGGTCTCCCACAAATGGCTTAAGTATATCTAAATGAGTTTACTGCCTGAGAACAACAGGCTCTTTCATTAAAGGAAAATTCTGTCATCATTTACTCACCCTTGTGTCATTCCAAACCCAAAAGACTTGCTTTCTTTCATCAAACACACAAGAAGATATTGCTAAATGCTGAAATGACTAATCCTTTAACAACCACAGTGAAAATGACCTCAGAGGACTTCAGTATTAACATTACTGCAGTATTCTTGCAGTGGTCATCTTGTTTTTTCCAGATGCAAGCTTTAAGATATTATTATAAAATAACTCATAACATTTCACGTCAGTGTATTTACTTATTTTGTGGGTAGCTACATTTATTTATAATTTGCGATAATGACCATCTGACAGTACATTATTCCTCTTGTATTTCATCAAGGATTAGGTAAGATTATATGTAACTAAATTTTCACTATAGACCTTAGTCAGGTTGGACACCATATTGAATTTACCACAGGTGAAAACGAGGTTGTGAGGGATGGAATTACCCTAGTCTTTACAATGGCAAAACTGTTTTATGGAGTTTTTGACTACTGATTTTTTTTTTATATAAATTTTTTGTCAACTGAACATTTGCTATGTTGTTAAACAACAGTAGAATTTTGTACAACAGTTTGTACAAAGCATTTACTTCTATCCCTCACAGCCTTGTTTCAATTCCTGTCAACATTTGCTACTCTGATTAAGGTCTATGGCCAAAATGAATGAATTTTTGCTTTTCAAAAACCCACCAGTTATGCCCTACTTGGCGTGATGCTGATGCTAATGAATTACAGAGTACAGGTACT